GGAAAATTTAAGGAGTTATTATTATGTACGTTTAGATGATACAACCGGTAGGATACTTTTGCACGTTACTGTATGTAAATCCCGTCACTATGTAAATGGGACTAACTAGTAGTATTATGTGTGGCATATTAAGAAAAGTATTGAATACGGCATGAACCTTACCTTTCTAGCTAGCGAAATTTAAAAATTTGGCATGGAAAAAGGAATAACATACTATATAAAGGAAAGTATCATGGATTTGAGATATTAGAAACTCTGCTCCTTTTTAGCGAAATCGGACAATGGTACAAGTAGTATTGTATGTGTAACATGAAGGACAAGTCTGCGTCGGATTTGTATCGAAAAAACGTTGAATCATAAAATTTGTATGTAATGGATTATATGTTAGCGAAAAAATTGATGGTGTAGGGAACTCATATCAAGAGACAACGAAAATCAGTTGTTATTTTTTATAAAAAGAAGAAAAACGTATAATGTAGTAAATCGATAATGCGAGAGATGTATAAAGGAATATAGCAAGTTGCATTCATTTGATTTATTCAAAAGGAAAGCTTACAAGCAACTTTAGAGGTCCACCTTAGCTGTGCTTAATAAAGGACACACAAAATCAAAAAGAAAACTTACTCGATTAAATGTAATATTAAAGTTAAGGGAAATAGAAAAGTTTTTCCTCATAACATAAGTTGGCGGGCGGGGATTTTATTTTATTTTATTTTATTTTATTATTTTTTTGGTATAAAAGCACACTTGCACCCATGGGCGGAGGCCATAATCTGATCTGGTCTGGACTGATTCATAATATAATATAAATATAGTAATTTTGGAATGACCAGATATACAGAAAGTATACTTGATTAGAAAATGCGAGGTTAGTCTCGTTTCCAATAATGAGGAAAAAATATGGTTTCATCTTCAAATAGAAATCTAATTCCAACAATATGGTAACTCAGGTTATGATGATGGAAATTTACTTTACGTTAAAATTAATTTATTTGACTATTACATACAGTATAATAAAATTTTTTTGTTTCTTTTTGCTATTATAATTATCACAACTATTAAGAAATACATAGCATGTCAAATAAACAATAGGTGGATAAACAATCGAATAACTAATGCTTTTAAACTGGCGTGCCAAGCAGCAAACTCACCTTTTATCTTCAGGGGCAGATCCTTCACAAGCAAGCTAAGCAATCACCGAATCAGTCCCTCAAACCCGCTCCACCTCCACCAAGTGTCCCATTGGATCCGGTCACCGGCAAATTGTTAGTGAAAAGAAAAAGACGTTAGTTTATATACGTAAAGCAATGCGATACTTGCCTTATACTTACCCAAACCATCTAAAAACTGTGTAAAGAAAAGAGATGTCTGAAGAGTGTTCCGGGCATCCCCCGATCAGACCCGTGCCAGATCCTTTCACCGTAGGCGAGCACTGGATGGTGAGTAGAGGGGCGTCACCGGTAACTACCCGCCGCCCGATCCAGATCCGCATCCGTCCACTGGTCGAGACAAAAGAGAGTAGCCACCTAGTTAACCAGTTTAAAAAGCAATGTTCTGTTAGTGAACGATTATTTATCTAACAATTGTTTCTCTTATAGTATTGTATTTTTTTTTCTCTATTTTGTTTCTTAATACTCCAGTAATAGAATTGACGCTGCCGAACCATGTAGATGAGAATAACGAGTCCGAGTATAGAGTCGACTTGTTAAATAGTGAGAAGAGCGAAATTATGCGTTGAAAATTTTTTCAAAATTGAGGAATGTAACGTCTAAGATATGGTTGCACAATTGAATAAAATTTGTTATGTTTTATAATAGTGTGATGCTGGTATACAAGAGGAAAAATCATAATTAACGAGCCGTTCCTGGAATTTAGACCATTATAGCAAAAAAACCGGTATATACAGTGGCCGGTTTTCACTGTAGTTCATAACGCAATTTCTGCGCACAATTATTATTGGTCACATATACCACGTGACAAATAAATTTATACAAAAATTTCGTCCTTTACATTCATCATAGCAACATGAGCACAGCATACGACGACGCAAAGCAGGAGTATGAAGAGGCTAAGAGGAAGATGGAAGGGCTAATGGAAGGGCTAATGGAAAGATTAACAAATCTGAGGATAAGTTTGGCAGCTGAAGAATGGGGGAGCAAGAAATGGATAGCAGAGGAGGAACAGCTGGAGCAAGAAGAAGAAGAGTTGAAGAAGAGCATAGAATACTGGAAGGGAACTTTTGGGGAAGAGCAAATAAAAGTAGTAAGTGAGGTTATTCGATGTAAAGATAGATTGTGTAATTCTAAACCGAATTGTATTAATTTAATTTAATTTAATTTAAAATTTTTTTTTCGCCTCGAAATTTGAGAGATGATGCAAGAGTTCCACGATACTATGACGTAATATTCATTTGTCTTGTTTTGATTTTATTAAGAGCTCCTCGCAAGCGAACCGTGAGGAAGTTTTTGCTGAACATCAACGAGAATATAAAAAGGCAGAAGCAGAGAAACTGCTTGCACGGCAGGTAAGCAAGGAAGGATTGAGGAGAACATTTATGGATTATTGGATTGATATTGAATATTTTCAACTTTGACTATAGGAAATTGAAAGGGCAGGCGGTGATTACGAGCGGTTGAGGTCATGGACATATTCAGCAGAGAAGGCTGAAAAATGGGAAAAAAGAGAAGAAAAGAAGGCTAAACACAAAGAATTTGGATTTACTGGTACTGTACTATTTTAATCGTGGCCCATCTACTACTTGACAAATTCACTTAAAATATTATTTGTTTTCTCAGACTACAATCAAGTAGCAGAGAAGAAATATAACCGACAAATTCACGAACTTAAACCCGATCTCCATGCATATCAAGAGGTTAAAGCACAGGCTGGAGCTTCGTCCGTTGATGATATGAATTTCTATCGCGATGTTACTTCTTTGGCTTTTGCTGGATATGTAGTCGATAGTCAGCCCAGCCGACAGGCAGTTGAAAGGCTTGTTACTGATGTTAGTAAACAGTAAGTACAAGAAAAATTGGGTTATTTGAGTGCGTAGCAACCGTAATCAATTATGTTAATTGTTGTTAGGATCGAACAACGAGAAAAGTTCTCGCGACAAAAGCGACAAAAGCGACAAGAGCCTGTTAATGAGGAAGAAGATATTACGTATATTAACGAACGTAACCAATATTTCAATGAGAAGATGGACCGGTATTATGGAAAATACACTAGAGAGATCAGAGAAAACTTTGAGCGCGGAACTGCGTATGTTAGCAAGCATTGTCTGCTATTGGTTTGTTGAGGTCAACTATTTATTTACTAATTTATTCTTATTTGATAATAGTTTGTAAATATATCAAATTATTGGGATGATGCATTAAACTTCTGTAGAGGTTTATTTACCCAAAGGTGATAGGATAAATACTTATCAATTTTTACAACATAATCATATTCAATTAAACCCAATGCCGACTAATATGCAGATTTACGACCTAGCTTGCGTTCTCAACAAGTTTTTGCAATCGTTAATATGAATAAACTACAATATTGTCGACAATTTTAATGATTATTTTACAATCAGCAGTCAGTTGAAGCAAAATTATTAATGAATGTTGCTGTGAATTACATTCCAAATCGTTAAGTCTGAGCCGTCTTGCAAGATTTTCCTCTTCCTGGTGCCTGCAATAGACTTTACAGGGCAATCAATGACTATCGCGAGGAACTTTTATTGACAAAAGCTAGAAATAAGCTTGATTACCAAGTGCTGTCACGCAAAAATTCATACATTTCATATAAAAAGACAGTACACTTAAGCAAACTTTCAGGTTAACGAGCAAAATCATGGAACGAATATCTTCGTTAAAGTGAATTTCACTGTGTATAACGAACTTCGTTATGCACCAAAATTTCGGTATATTATTATTATGCTAATTTAGGCAATCTTCGTTAAACTGAATGAATTCTTCGTTATATCGTTATACAGATTTTAATTGTATCTTCGTTACTGCGGATATATCACGGGTACTTGCCGATGCTGGGAGCGGCGGTGCACTAGCCGTTTTAGAATTTAGTACAGAAGCTTTTGCTCTTCTAACTTCAAACTAACAATTAGTGACCTTTAACTAGGTTTTATACTCACGATCTGTATATTATCGGTCTTGTATACACTGTCCCTGAATTATTGTTTAACCCGAGTAATCGCTTCGATTTCTTTGATGGGATTAGTCTCAAAGCCTATCGGTTCGGGGAATTTATCTTATCCAAAACTACTAGTAATAATTGTGACGGCTGATGCTGAAATCGCCGATGACGGGAAAGCGTTTTAAACTTCGCCAACGATGCTAAGTATCTCTTATCAGGGAATAAGCGAAAATAACAATATTTATAATTAAATACTTTATCATTTCACTAAACTGTCAAGATTTAGGCCTTCGATATATTGGGATGAAATTTGTTCAATATTTCTGCGCTGATCTGCACTGCGCAAATTCGAATCGGAGATGTTCGTACAACTGAGCGGAAATCACCGGGGCGATCTATCCTTGATATATTAATATAAAAACGAAACTTGAAACTAAGTTGCTGAGCACATATTAATTCCAGTCATTTTATTAAATGATGTCCAAGAGTGGATTATTAGAGACTGATGCACTTGAGTTGAGACATAGGGGAGCAGAATATCTGATGTTTGGTCAATATGAGAATGCCTTGAAACATCTTATTCAATCTTCAAAATGTGAACCAAATAATGCATTAACATTGAAACTAACAGCAGATACCTGCTATTACTATACACTTAATCAGCCTACCAATGCATTGACATATGTCTACAGATTATTGCAGATTGAACTAAACAATAACAACATGACAGCATTTGATAATGCATTCTCCAATAGTTTCTCCAATGCTATATTAGATCTGAAAGGTTATCAAATTGGAGATACAATAGCAACTGTTTTAGCAAAAGTTTTAGAATCAAACTCTTTCTTGACTTCATTGGATCTTGAGTGGAACACAATTGGAGAGGCAGGAGCAACAGCTCTGGCTGAAACTTTACAATCAAATTCATCTCTGACTTCTTTAAATCTTACTTATAACCAGATTGGAGATATTGGAGCAACAGCTTTGGCCAAATCCTTAGAATTAAGTTCCTCTTTGACTTTTTTGAATCTTGGGTACAATCAAATTGGAGACATAGGAATAAGAGCTTTGGGCAAAGCTTTAGAATCAAATTCTTTCCTGACTTCTTTGGCTCTTGAGTGGAGTAAAATTGGAGATAATGGGGCAACAGCTTTGGCTGAAGCTTTAGAATCAAATTTATTTTTGACTTCTTTGGATCTTAATTATAATCAGATTGGAGATATAGGGGCAACAGCCCTGGCTGAAGCTTTAGAATCAAATTCTTCTCTGACTTCATTGAGTCTTGAATGGAATAAAATTGGAGATGCAGGAGCAACTGCCTGGGCAAAAGCTTTAGAATCAAATTCTTTCCTGACTTTGTTAAATTTTCAGTCTAACAATATTGGAGATATAGGAGCAATAGCCTTGGCAAAAGGTTTACAATCAAATTCATCTCTGATTTCTTTGGATCTTAATTATAATCAGATTGGAAATATAGGGGCAACAACTTTTGCAAAAACTTTAGAATCAAATTCTTCTCTGACTTCATTGAGTCTTAAATGGAATAAAATTGAAGATGCAGGAGCAACTGCCTGGGCAAAAACTTTAAAATCAAATTTATTTCTGACATCTTTGAATCTTAATTATACTCAGATTAGAGATGCAAAAGCAATAGCCTTGGCAAAAGCTTTAGAATCAAATTCATCTCTGACTTCATTGAGTCTTGAGGGGACTAAAATTGGAAATATGGAAGCAAGAGCTTTTGCAAAAGTTTTAGAATCAAATTCTTCCCTGACTTTTTTAAATTTTCAGTCTAACAATATTGGAGATATGGGAGCAATGGTTCTGGCTAAAGCTTTAGAATCAAATTTATCTCTGACTTGTTTGAATCTTAATCATAATCAGATTGGAAATGTAGGAGCAACAGCTTTGGGCAAAGCTTTAGAGTCAAATTCTTCCCTGACTTCTTTGGTTCTTGAGTGGAATAAAATTGGAGATGCAGGAGCAACAGCCTTGGCAAAATTTTTACAATCAAATTCTTGTCTAACTTCTTTGTATATTCAGTCTAACCAGATTGGAGATGCAGGAGCAATAGCCTTGGCAAAAGCATTAGAATCAAATTTTTCTCTGACTTTTTTGGGTCTTAATTACAATCATATTGGAAATGCAGGAAAAATAGCCTTGAAAGAAGCTTTAGAATCAAATTTTTCTCAGTTTTCTGTGCAATATTGGAATAGATGTATTTATACCACTGCTAAAATAGAACAGAACAGGGTAAAAGCTTTAATATATTAGAGCCAAATTCTTCACTGACTTCTTTAAGACTTATTACTATTCCTTAATATTACTCATTATTATTGGTATGTAGGAAGATGATGTTATGATTAATCTCTACCACAAGCATGGCCCAAACTGGGGAACTATATTCCGTATCTTGAGAACTAGGACTGCTCACCAGTGTTTTCATAGGTAAACCATGTTGACTTTGTTTTTATACAATAATATCTGTTGTATCCATATTGACATGATTTGAACGATAAATTTCTACATTGCAGGTGGGAAAATATACTATGCACTAGAAGTATGTAACTACTTTTCCCTTAAAGGTTTTTTATTTAACTACTGCTATCTCAGAATAACTCGTTCTATTTTGAATGAATAGCTAATGGAAGACATGCGGTTAGACACGCAAGCGGAAGACGTATTCGAACTCGAATGTCAATAGCGCGTCTACTAAACTAACGTATTAGTATAACTATAACCAGTATAACTCCAGTATAACTATAACCTCGTCAAAAATCACAAGCATATTATGTAAGCATTAATCGGGGACAAATACCAATAGGCTGTGATGCTACACAACCGCGCAGCTGCGGATTTCAGAAGTAAGAGTACAAGTGTTGCGGAATATTAGTGATACGAAAGCACTAGTGCGTCAACGCTTAAGTAACATTCTTAAACGTATACTAAAGAACAATCGATAGAATATCAGAATTAGCTGCTAAAAATAGCTCAATTAGTCCGATCAAAACGTATATAAGCAGCTAGAATTCCAGCTAGAGTCGGGGTGTTTTCGCATGGTGAATTAGAGTTTTTTATATTCCTTATAATTCATATATTATTGTTAATAAACGAGTATCACATTTACTCTGAACCAATATTATTGACCCTATTCTCTAAATTAGCTGATATATCTAGGAAACCCCGTTAAATCCGTATATCAACGAAGGATAATTGCTACTTGTCCCGCAATTATCTGAGTGGCGACATAAGATATTTAATCGTTAGTTTAGAAACGCGTTTGCTTTATTCATAAACCATTGTACCCCAAACGGGAAATTATCGGATTAATCTCTCGATAATAACCCCGATATACTCGAGTACGATTAACTTATCTAGGATTTACGTCATTCTACGACGAAATAGTTCGTAAGTGAAAAGCCTTGAATTAACGAGGTCACTAACTGTAAACTAGATATTTAACTAGAAGGAGGAGGCGCCACGCTCCGTCGATACTAGCTAAATCCCAAGTGTCGATCACTATCTACTCTCCCGCAGTAGTCAGCATGACACCGCTCCTGTCTCTCTAATCTGGTTATAATCAAGATCCAAAGAAGTCAGAGAAGAATTTGATTCTAAAGTCTTTGCCAAAGCTGGCTGTTGCTCCTGCTTCTCCAATCTGATTATAACTAAAATCCAAAGAAGTAGAGAAGAATTTGACACTAGAGCTTTTGCCAAAGCTGCTACTCCTGTTTCTCCAATCTGATTACCACTAAGATCCAAAGAATTCAAAGGAGAATTTGATTCTATAATAATAACCCTTGCCAAAACTGCTGCTACTGTTTCTCCAATCTGGTTGTAATAATATAGTTTTAAAGAAGTCAGAGAAGAATTGGATTCTAGAGCCTTTATCAAAGCTGCTGCTCCAGTTTCTCCAATATTATCAGCACTAAATTTCAAAGAAGTCAGAGAAGAATTTGATTCTATAACCCTTGCCAAAACTGCTGCTCCTGTATCTCCAATCTTATTGAGCTTAAGACTCCAAAATTCAGAGAATTTGATTTTAGAGCCTTCACCAAAGCTGAACTACTAGCAAAATTTCGCAAATTGACCTTCTCAAAAATTATTACCACAATTTTTATTAAATCAAGTTTCAAAAGTTTCTAACTTTCGAACGAAAAAAACCGCTGCTGGTAAAAATTACGGCTGTTGGTCATAACTCCCGTAGTAT